TGATATTTGGAATCTGACACTCAAGAACTATAAAACAGTTAAACTGAAAATGATATATCATTTGTCATTTGGTTTTGCTATAAATAAACTCATCTGTATAAAATGACTGCAAATACATGAATGAAATATGTAAATGAAAATATAAGTTTTACTAAAGTATTTTTACGTTTTGTTAAAATACGCTTTGATGTTATAAAATATTTCATGATCTAGCCTAAACACAATTGAATTTTTCGTTTTAGCTTTTCTTCCCACTGTCTAGCGTATTATATATAACAATAACCTTGATCTATTATATATAACAACGTATTATATATAACAGTAATCTTGATGGGTTCTGTTCAAATTGGAAGCGAAACTTGCAAACAAACTGAAAAAATTTGCGTTTTTTTCATTGAGAACTGCATTGAGATATTGCGTTTAGAATGAACTGTAGATTCCTGTACATACTAGATATATATACAGAAGTAAGTACATTTCAAGTTATTGAATGTAACTATTCAGACAGACAGGCAGACAAAGTAGACAGATGTCTTGTTTTGCACCCGCTAAGACTTTCTGCACAAATGGGAGAAAAATTAAGCTTAGGTTCGAAAGAAAAGGTATATAGAAAGGGGGCAATTTCGTGTTTCAGAGGAGAGTAAAAAGAAACTTCGTACATTTTATACGATTTCAAAAGGTCAGGAAGAAAAGATGGGACAAAATAAAATTAAAATAAATGCCCCAAAAGTAATAGAGGGAGGGAAAAAAGGGGCCCATAGAAAGGAAAGGAAAAGAAGTAGAAAATTCTTAAAATACTCTTGAATCCATGAGTGTAATCAAAAGGGGAGGAAGCTGTGTTCATTTACAGTAAATAGTGTCTCCCAGGTGTATGTAAAGAGTGTGTTTGGTAAAGCTGAATAGATGTGATGATGGGAGGAGGGGAAATAAATAAAAAATAAAGATTGGGGCCCAAGTTACATAACAGTTTAAGTCTAGTTGAAAAGCTAACTTTTTCTAAGACAGGAGCTCTGCTAAGATTCTGCCTCCATCGTTTGCGACCGCAATGCCTTCATGGATAATAGAGTGCATGTGTCTAAAATGAAAAACTTCTGATTAGGAATGTAACTCTAAGTAATTTAGAGTAAATTGAGCTAACTGTAATCGTTGGCAAGGCCCAAAGAAAAGGTAAATTAATGTAATAAAAATAAATACATACATATAAATAGGTAAAAATAATATAATAGGTAAATATATATGTAATAAGATGACTTGGTGAAAGAAAGTTCAATGGATTGACGATGGCTCTCTGCATTATAACTTGAAGAGGCTTTACTGCATAGTTAGAAAGATGACACTCGAAGACAGACATGTAATAGAAACAGTTGTTGATCCATAATGAATAAGAGACTGGCAGCCGAGGCACATTCAATCTTCATTTTATTTTCAGTAAACATATTGGGGCCACAAACTACTTGGCACATTATTTGTACCTATTTCAAGAGGTTTACATTTTTGATAACTTTGCAGCAAGAAGGAAGCAGCAGACAGCAGTCCAGTTAGGTCGAAGAGTTGCGAGCGTTATGTTCAGGCTGAAATCATAATTCAGACTGAATTAGTTTTGGTCCCCAGTGCATCTTGATTGGATAATTAGTACTGCTTGTTTGCTTTTTGAGTTTTGGTTCCATTTACATTGTAGAGTCCAAGGTATAAAATTCTGTCTGTACTGGAGTAGCAGAAAACTACGCAGGAGAAGGGTTCACGTACCCTTTATTAACGTTTTAAAATTTACAATGCGTCAAATCGACGCTAACAAACTTCGCGTCTACTTGGGCGGTAACTGAAAGTCAGATAATTGAAATTAAAAGTTGAACTATTTAACAAGTGATAAAACCAACCTACAGGGCTCAGCGAGATCTCGTAACTTCAACCCCCTTCTAAGCTAGTGGCAGCAAAGCAATGCAATTAAGAACTTGAATCAGCAGTAAGCAGTAAGCAAACGTACCTACGGCAGAGACAGCAGCTAGAGCCTAACTCTCTCTTTCTCCTACCGAAACTCGGCTTTTAACTACTTCCTTCAAAAAAGAAAATTTGTATTCGTTCACGTGCGCTACAACATTTAACTATTCTGGCACTGACAATTAGGGGAATGAAGGCTTATAGGAAAGTTTCAAATGAAACTTTAAATTATTAGTTAATATAAATATAAATCCCTACAACATGACCAGAATAATGTAATCGTCATAGGACATGGATTAATCTCGAAAAGACGCAATGCAAATAGATATTAGTATTTTTAAAATACAGAGGGGAAATAAATTTACTTTGGTAATTTAAATTATAATTTATCTTTATGTATTTTTTATTTTTCCCACTTATACATTTGTAAGATATAACAAAAATATGATGGCTGCTTTAAGAATAATTAGCAACCTCAAAATTAACGATTCTAGATTTTATGCTCTCACCTTAAATTCATCGGTTCTCCCAAATTCGAGATCTTTCTATGTTACGTAATGCTTAATGCAGACAATCGGAATAATTGTAAATCTAAACATTTTAAATCTATTGACTCCCTCTCTTCTCCCTTTGATATGCAGCGTCCTTTTTCACTTTCGCTTAAGCTTCCCTCCTGGCCAGACGCTTCGCTGCTGTGCTTACTCATCTAAATTGTGTCATACTTTAAAACCCATGTACATGGAAATTATTGTATTCAATTATGATTAAAAAATCTTGTCTACAAAAGGATGATTTGGTATGCGTAAAAATTTAGATTGTGATACTTCAAGCTCAGTTGTGTTTGTAAAGATTTAAAAAAGGTGAGTCAGAGGCCCATGATAATTAAGTAGAGGCTTTATTAAAAGATGGAATTTCACGCACATGGCACAACACGTTTCTACATATCACACCATGATTAAGAACTACCACAACTGTTGCCAGATCAACCTAAGCAAAAGTATAAAATAGTTACGGTTAAAATACATGACATTAAAACAAGAACGGGGAGTACGTGTGATTATTCTCAACAGTCATGAGTCATCATGCCTTTCCACTCAGCCCTATCTACAGCCACAAGCTGCTGAAAAGTACCGAATAATCATGATACACATACACATATATATTTAGATCATTCAACACACACACATATATATATATAATTAAATTAAATTAAAAATATATAGATACACTAGCATAATTATATACACAAGCACATTAAGGAGATTATATTTTATAACAAGTAAGGTTCAATTTAAGAAGCTAGCCCAATGATATAAAAGTAGAATAGTACAATATAAATATCAATACATATATAAATAAATACCGTCGCCATGGACAATAATACTATAGTAATAGTAAGGGAATTAAGCCTAATTTTGAGCACTACTGGAAGGACAAGGAATGCTAATATAAAAGAAACCTTATGGGTAAATAGAAGTGTTACAAACTGGTCTTCATTTTGGGATCACCGTTTATCATCTGAAGAAGCCCGGGCCGACTAGCTCCTGAGTAGTTGCAGCTGTTTCAGCACTTTGTGATGCAGTACACAAGAACCGATAAGTCAGTCTAAAAAAACTTTTTATTATAATGACATCAGCTAGTTGTACATTAAATGAAGGAAGGGAACTAAAATTAACAAAAGAGCAACTGTAGGAGCTGCGTCAACAAGGAGATATACGAACGCGAGGAAGGCTCCGCCCATCATAAGGTAGCCCCGCCTTCATTGGAAAAAGAAAAAGATTTACATGAACAAGTGAGACTAAAAACAAGCCAGTTTCTTGGCGAAAAAGCATAGACAACTGATCTTCACCTAAAGGCAGTGGCAGAAAACATCAAATTTTTTGTGGAAAGAAACAGGAAGAGACGGAACTAAAACTATCCAACAGTACCAGTCACTACCCTTTTCTTTTTCCTTCATAAGAAGTATGGATACAAAAAGTTTTGTGAATCTCACTAAGTTATTCTACACAGGATGAGGCTAATAAGCTTTGGTGCCTGCTTCCATGGAATTTGATTCACTTGAAGCTGTAATAAAAGAGTGTTTGTAACTTGAGGAAATAAAGTAAATAGAAAAGTTACTGGACAGAGAGAAAAGCGAACACGAGGTGAGAAGAAGATAATCTCTTTAAGAAAGCTAATTCATATTTATTAAGAAGCATTTTCACCTGTAAGATAAGACGGAGAAGAGGGAAAAAAAGGGTAGATTTGAAGACGTATCAGTTACGAGATATAGAGAATAAGATAGTCCCCGCCTCGCAATAAGAAGCGATTCACTACATTTAGAATGGAGTATAGGAGACTAAAAATGAGATAACGATTATGCCTCATGAGTTTCGACAGGTCTTTCGGCACCTGCGGAGATTGGTAACATACTTCAAGGTAATTTAAGGAAAAAAAAGAGAAGAGAAAGAAAATTGTTTTAAAAAAGCAGTCTAAAAATTCCGACAGAGAAGGTCGCTATAATATGTGGGAGTAAGTAATGGGAGGGAATATGGTGTTACAAGTCTTATTGAGAAAAAGATCACTAAATTAAAAATGAAGAGGAAGGCAAAATGAATAATGGATATTCCCTAGAGCAGAAGCAAAAATGTGATATTTTCGTAATTGCCTGCTAGTTTGCTTTACAGTAAAATTAAACGCTGCATTCAGAAATCAGATGAAGCATTCTGATGTAAGCCAAAATCTGAGATTCGCCAACTCTTTTGAAAGTAATTCCCAAGATGTTGGTGAAAATTAAGAAATTATGCCCACAGATAATGCTACCTATTTAAGCGAAAATTACAGATGGACAGATATAACTCGTGAATTAAAATTTTACAGGTAACATTGGCCTTTCAGAAATAATGAAGCCAAGTGGATAAAGAATATAATTATAATATGTGTTCTTAAACATCCTCAGCTCAGTTGCAGAAAATCTATCTTTCAAAAGTTATTTTCAAATTAGCACTGCGAATTGGCCCACCCTTAATAAAATATACTTCAACTTCAACTAATATGAAATGAGCGATAGTGGTGGTATTGGATTTGGTGTAGAAACATGGAAATTTAATGTATGATTGTTGACTTTTTCGTGAGAATTTATGATCATAACTGTGCTCAGTTTGTTTTTTGTTTTTGTTTTTATTAATGTGGCCATAGTACTGATGTCTTTGTATTTCCGACATGTCTAATGCCAAAGTCGGTAAGTATATAATTGTGATTGTTTCTGTTGCTGTGTTGTAACTGGTACCTTTACAGACATTGTGAAGTATTTTAAACAAAATTAACCACGGAAAGATTTTTTCCAGTTTTTTAGTAAAACACAGAATTGTAATTTTCCTCTGTGTTTTAAGTGTTGTATGTATGAATCATGAAACCATTTCGTACCATCCGAAAACGAGAAAGAATTAGTTATGTGTAACTTCTTTAACAAGAGATTTCTCTTCTTTTGTATTTAAATTTAAATATATTTGTGGTTAGAACTTTCGTGGTTACAAATGAAGCTTACATAGTGTTTGGTTTCTTGCTTTTCATTAAGGGATTTAATTAAAAATTAAATAAGATTTTGATTATTATACTATTGTACAGTACTTGTGTTAAGAGAGCTACATTTCGAGACTGTATTAAAAAAATTGTGTTTTATATAATATTGTGAAAAATATTAAAGCTGTGCAATTCCAATTATATTTGGCACGTTTCGTTTGTTGTATGTATTAGCTGTCAAATATTTCGTTAATTCCTGCTCTTGTGTGATATCTGGTAGATATCAGCATATATTAACCACAGTTAGCTGGTTTGCATATATTAGCCGCAGGGAACTGAAATATTAATAGTTTCTAGACTTTTTGCAGCTTTGTTTTCTAAAGTGTATTGGTGATTATTATCTACCATCCTATATCTGTAGCATTTGTTAAAATGTTCATCTTGTTTTTAATGTGCACATACTAAGCTGCAATCTTCCAAATTATAGACAGTGATGAATGTGCCATGTAGTCATTATGTACTCCAGGTACTGAAATATGGAATGTTTTGAGTCTGAAATATATCATGCCTGTTTTATGCTGTAGAACTGGTAATAACTGAAGCAGACGGGGTGGCTAGCAATTTTATTTTAATTATTTTTTTGTATTTCTGAAATTGAAAAAAATACAACCTCTCATTTGTATTAGTAAAACAGAAGTATTAAAAGACTTTCGTATTACATTTCTTCAACGAGTGAAAATATTCTAATACATTGAATTTTTCTTTCAAACAAACAGTAATTCAAAATTAAATTTTTTATTTCTTGAATTGTGCCTATTTATTCAACATGGATCAGCTTAATGCGGGTATAAAGAACATTAAAAAAGACTGCTGCGTATTTATGATGCTTTGAGAATGGATTTAATTTTATGCATTTTGAACTTTGAGCTCTTTCTGTATTTTTTTAAATCTTAGGAACAATTTTTTCTTTCATAAGAATAATCACAAAATGTTATTTGTATCAAATATTGAATTTAATTATTAAATGGTATAAATTTATTTCTCAAGTGATTTTTATACTTGTGCCTGGTAAGTTTCTCTTTTTAATAATATATGTTGAATACCAACTTACCCTTAAATTTAGTTCTGGTTTCCAAAGCTTAACATTTAAAATTTCTTAAATTGTAGTGTTAGATATCAGCTGTGTGAAAATACATCTGTTTAATCCACAAGCATAAAATTTATTGATAAGTTTAAATTAACTGGTGTAAGCATAAAATTTATTGATCAGTTTAAATCAACTTTTTAAAGGAACAGTTACAAAGTAGAATAAATGTGATTTAGTATTTTATAATTTTTTTTAATTCAGAGTAATTAGCTGTTAAGCTAATTAGGCTTTATTATAGTCATTTACTGAAGAAAAGATAATTATTAAAGTACCATCTGTAATCCTCAGCATTTAAGTTACTAAATAAGAGCTAAGTTGCATAAAAAGTTATTTTTATTTAAAATGTAAGGGTCATTTTTGTGAAATAATTTTCTAAATTATTAGGTACTGTTCTGTTACCAGGACCGGATTCAAAGATGGATGTATGTGTTCATGTATAATATCGCGTTTTTCAAAATAACACATACACATAAACCATGTACACGCCGACTTATTTTTACTTAAAAAAACATCCCAGAATTGCACAAAAATGGCATTGCGCACACTCTTCACTATATCCATGTACACTGCTTTTTTTCTCATAAATTAGAAAAATTTCACGAAAATACATGACAATTTTCTCAATCTTTAAACCCGGTAAAAAGAACATATATGAAATTACCTGAACGCGAAAAAGTATTTACCCTTTCCAAATATGAACATTTCCACATATAAAATAAATAAAATATCCAAAAACGTTTACCTCTAAATCATCTATTACATTATACACGTCACCAACAAATTCATACCGCAAGCATTACAAATACTTAGTATCAAATATTTAAATTATTTCCATGCACGTTTACTTCAACTTAAACGTGTACCAAATTCCTACAAACATAAAATTCACAAAATAACTATCATTTAATTAAAATATCACTAAACCATGTACACGTTGACTTATTTTTACTTAAAAAAACATCCCAGAATTGCACAAAAATGGCATAGCGCACACTCTTCACTATATCCATGTACACTGCTTTTTTCTCATAAATTACAAAAATTTCACGAAAATACATGACAATTTTCTCAATCTTTAAACCCGGTAAAAAGAACATATATGAAATTACCTGATGATCGCGAAAAAGTATTTACCCTTTACAAATATGAACATTTCCACATATAAATAAATAAAATATCCAAAAACTTTTACCTCTAAATCATCTATTACATTATACACGTCACCAACGAATTCATACCGCAAGCATCACAAATACTTAGTATCAAATATTTAAATTATTTCCATGCACGTTTATTTCAACTTAAACGTATACCAAATTCCTACAAGCATAAAATTCACAAAATAACTATCATTTCATTAAAATATCACTAAACCATGTACACGTCGACTTATTTTTACTTAAAAAAACATCCCAGAATTGCACAAAAATGGCATTGCACACACTCTTCACTATATCCATGTACACTGCTTTTTTCTCATAAATTAAAAAAATTTCACGAAAATACATGACAATTTTCTCAATCTTTAAACCCGGTAAAAAGAACATATATGAAATTACGTGATCGCGAAAAAGTATTTACCCTTTACAAATATGAACATTTCCACATATAAAATAAATAAAATATCCAAAAACTTTTACCTCTAAATCATCTATTATATTTACATAAACGTCACCAACGAATTCATACCGCAAGCATTACAAATACTTAGTATCAAATATTTAAATTATTTCCATGCACGTTTACTTCAACTTAAACGTATACCAAATTCCTACAAACATAAAATTCACAAAATAACTATCATTTCATTAAAATATAATTAAATTCAAAAACACTACTTAAAATATAAATGAGCACATACATTAAATTAATAAAAATTACCTTACAATCCTAATTACTTTAAACTAAATCATTGCTAATAACAATTTTTCCAATAATACCAAATTCCTTTCCACCTTACATTTAGAACAATGCATAAAAATAATATCCTCAAATAATTAAAAATACTAACTTACCTAATCTTCTTCAGAATCTTGATTACGTGGCGGATACACTTTTCTTACTTCTGTTTCAGAATCTTTAAATCATACTTATCTTTCAAAGCAAGATACCAGGTAAAATAAATAACATAATAAAACATCTTTATTCTCTCTCCCACAACCTTAAAAAACATTTATTACTACCCTTTTCAATACCACTAAATACCCATTTCGAATTCACTTTAGTTACGGCCATGGGATCCGAAAATTCACAAACACTATTTCACACAACACAGAATAAAGCCAAATACAAAATTGCCAGATTTTTTTTCCCGATTAAAGAACAGTAATTCGTCCATTAATATCACATAACATATCCCATGATCTCTCATTTCCCTCACACAAAATAATGCGTAATCTGAACTGAATACTACTCACATTCTTAACAAAGTCTAACTAACCTAATCTTCTTCCGAATCTTCCTTACATGGTGGATACACTTTTATTATGGATTCAATAAAATTACTGAATGATTTTTTTTCCGAATTTGATAGAATTTGATAAAAAAAAAAATTCTCTTTATCACATCTACAATTCACTTTAGACAGCGCCATACAATCCCAAAATTATTCAACCCTACTTCACACAACACACAATGAAGCTTAATACAAAATAATATACATCCACAGATACTTGTCCAAATTCCCCCCTTTTCCGATTAAAGAACCGTAATTCGTCCATTAATATCACATGACATATCCCATGATCTCTCATTTCCCCCACACAAAATAATGCGTAATCGGAACTGAGTACTGCTCACATTATTACCAAAGTCCCAGGTAGTAACCTTTATCGCCTCCAAAATGTCGCCAAACTACCAGTTACCATAAAGATCAACCAATTATTTTTATTCTGTACATGTAACATGAGTATTCCTGCAAAATGTAGGCAAAATACAGATTTGGCAGCAGGTTTTTCTTCTGGTCCCTAATATGCAGAGTACATTAGTTTAAGGCAGTTGGTTTATTTGATATTGAAACTCAAATGAATATGATGGCATTCTAATTAGTACTGGAATGATTAGAAAATTTTCAACTACATTGGCAGAGTCTACATAAGAAACCAAATCTTGGTTCCCAAAGTTGAAAACTGGCACCAGCACTCGCTAATCCTCATGAAGTTTGGATTAGGAAATATTGCAGCTTTCACTCAAATAAAAATCCATTACAAAAAATTGTTGGTACTTTTCCGTTTCGCCGGCGCAAATCTCGCCAAGCAGACTTTATTGGCGACAACATACATTATACACACAAAAAATATTAAAAAGTCCTAAGAATTCTTTTTTTGAAGGTATAAACATTTTAATATCGCTTAAATTTTATAAAAAGCCAATAAATAAAGACATAAATTTATAAAAAGACATTAATTTAAGAATTTACTATGCTTTCATGGTTCAACATCCTGTTTCGCCGGTTCATATCACGTGACCCCAAGCGATCTCATCTCACGTATACTACTCTACAAAAATATAATGCTCTCAGTAATTATCTACATTAATTTCAAGTTAAATCTTAATTTGGAACACAAGTTTAA